ACAAAAGGACAAATACTGTATGAGACCTCTACTGTATAACTCAAGTAGAAGTTTACACACAAAAAGAAAAAAAGAAAAAAAAAACCACTGCCAGAACATTTAGATTGAGATGCAGCATAGCCGGCTGGCTCTGTGTAGTAGGCTTCCCCAGTTCACACTGCATTTTAAGTTACCCATCTTCCCCAGACTGTGAGCTGTGTGATGGCAGACTATGCCTGCATTGCTCACTGTTGTCTCCTTAGGGTCAACACCATGCTTGGCACACACAAAGCACAAATATTTGAATAAAATAAATGAGTCTTAACTGATGTTTTTTTAAATATTTATTCAAATGCATTTTACAGTGGGTTCAGGTAACAGTATAAACAAATACATTCAATAGTACTAAAATAAATCTATATAAAATACATGATTTCATTAAGGTGCAATAAAATACATGAAATGACACATAAGTCTGTATTTGAAGTCAGTATACTAGCTTTCTACTTTTTTAAAGACTAGCCTTTGAAATGCTAAAAATTTAAATATAGTCTAAAAAAAAAGGAAAGCGTTGGGCATCTTAAGGTTTAAAACAGGCTATTCTATAATGACTCTGGGTTTATGTACCTACTGATCGTAAGTAATAAGGCTCGGGTTCATAATCTACTATCCAGAAAGTAAAGTCATACTCTGAATGGTCTAGTAACATACTCATATCTCCCTTAGACTTTCTTCACCTCCTCCAAACTCCCAAGCCACCCCTCATCCCCCAACCAGGCACAGATGAATAATTTGATATAAAACTCCAACTAAACTGGAAGCATCTTAAGAAAGCATTCCTGTATGTATATGTGATGAGAAAATATTCAACAATATAATTTTCTATATAAATGGCTCCCAAAGATTTAGCTTTTTTAAAAACAGCATAATCTAACATTTTTAGAAACCCAAAGAGCATTGGATACACCATAGATGTCAGTAATATCCAGTAGCCAGTCTGTCAGTATTACTTTTGTGGTCAAAACACAAGCAGCACGCTGTGGGATGGTCTGACCAGCACGATGCACAGTGGGAGGGCTATTATGTCCCTTAATTTGGACACAACTGTTCAAGCAGTTTACAGTTTATTAGCTCTTCAAGTAGCTTCTCTACTTGGTTTTCACTAACCTTGTGGTCTACTGATTGGTGAACCCTAGATTCTTTTCACTTGAAATAGTCTCAAGTTAGAGATTGTCCATATTAAACTTGTATATGCAATTTACTATCTTGTAGCCTTGGACAAGTTAACCTAACTTCTCCAAATTTCCATTTCTCCAGCTGTAAATTGCGATAATACCACTAAATCCTGTAAGGATTAGAGATGCTGCATATCATGCACGTCAGGTACTCAACATACAACAATTATGCTGTGATTATTTTTCAAAAACCCAGCTACTACTCATGTGTTCCTGGGTAAAATATCTATCTTCTTCATTTCTAAACAGTGGTCCAGCTTGCCAAAATCTTTATGAATCTTAACTGTCATTCTGTGACTTAGCTATTCCTCTTAGGTTTGTTATCTGCAAATTTGGTGTGACTTGTCTATACTGTGATAAGAAAAGTTCACATAAGACAGGAGCCTTATGGTATACCAATCAAGGTTGAAGGATGGATTAATGATCTGTTTTTCAAAGCTCTCTGAATGTACCAAGTAACTAGAATTAGCTACAAACTCATTTACCTGTATTATTATCCAGCTGATAACTTCCCTATTCCATCCATGATGATTTCAAGGCTTCCTTAAATAAAGGCATTCTAAGTTTATTACAGTGTCTTGATCACTAACTATAGTAATAAAACTGCCGGCATATATCAAATATTCATTTAGGCAGCTTATAAGAAATAGATGAATCAGGATAATTTTGTAATTTGAAATGCAAACTGATTTAAAGAAGTTTCCCAGAAAGCAAACCTAGAAATTTACAGTCCAAAAAGTTAAGGAGACTTGTTTGGTGAGAGGTGGGAGGTTGGGGTAAAAGTGAGAAGACCAGATATGAGTGAGTGCTGGCCACTGGCAGTAAAAAGAAATGCCAACACTGCATAATAAAAAGGTATTTAGTTAACCTTCTAAGGAACAAATAATAAGATAGTACATTCATCCATTTCTTAATCTCTGCAAGCTGGTATGAACATTTTTTTAAGGATGCAGGAGGGATTATATGCACTAACACACAAGTACTCACTAATAAACAAGTTTTACTTATTTATCTGAGAGAATATGGGGACAGGAAAAACTTCAATTTCTAGCACATCTCAAACCTAGATAACCTGAATCCTCCCCTTCCAACAAAACACACAGAAATGCTGGATAAAACGTACCAAATGTTCTTTTAAATGGACAGTGGAATTTGTAAGAAAGTAAGGGGAAATCCTTAGGGCTAAAAATAAAGGAAACTGAAAACCAGAGAAATAAGTGTGTGAGCTGATGAGTAGCTGTCCTGGCACAATGTGCCAATCTTATTAATCTATGAGTTTCAGCTTTAGTATCTACCTGGGGACAGATGAAACCTTTATACTAGTCCTGAGGCCTGGATACCTTGAAGCCAAGAAATTAAAATAAGAGTGGTCCTAAGTCAGTGATACTCCTGGGCATATGGCATAAGCAGACACAAGACTGATTTGGAAGAAATTACTCAAGATTCCCACATGTAAAGCCTGCTGAAAACAAACTTACATTTCAAAATTACAAAATACGTGGGTAAACAGTCCACCAGATGAAAGAACCAACAGATACAAACAGCAGGATTAGACCCCTGAAAATGTCATTTAATAGAGTTATTAAATAAATATAGGTAAGTATGCTTAAAATGATTGTTTTTTGTTGCCATTATTGTGTGCCACTGAGTCAATTCCAACTCATACCGACCCTATAGGACAGAGTAGAACTGCCCCATAGGGTTTCCAAGGAGTGGCCAGTGGATTCGAACTGCCTACCTTTTGGTTAGCAGCCTGAGCTCTTAACCACTTTGCCACCAGCGCTCCTTAAAATGATTAGTGACATAAAAGAAGGAACTGAAAAGTTAAAACTAGTATCATGAAAAAAATAATAGGCAGATCTTAAGAATGATACATAGCTAGAAATAAAAAAAATTTTTTGAAAGAAACCCAGTAATTAGGTTAAAAAGGAGATTATATACAGCTGAAGACAGAAGTCATGAACAAGAAGACAAATATGAAGAAACAACCATGACATCATCACAGAAAGATAAAGTAATGAAAAATATAGAAGGGTTTAACATTTAAAGAGAACAGAATAAGAAGGTCCACTATACATTTTTAAAAAACAGTAACCACACTGTGTCTGTAAAATTTGTTCTCCATAATATAATAACTTGATTATTAAGTACACTGGGCAATCTTGTTACTGAAAATTCAAACGCATTTCTTAAACACTAATTTCAACACTGTTTCTCATTTTTAATATAGGTGAGATTGACCATGACACAAAGTAGATAGTTATAATTTTATAGTTTCCCTCTCCCTTTTATATATTAATATCAAAGAATTTTTCATTCATATATAATATGTGGGGAACAAGTTATAATTAAAAGCCACATCAAAACTAGCAGTATAGTCATTTGTTCTAATTAATACTAAAAACTGTCATTGATGTGTTCGCACTCCTCCTCGCACTGTTTTCAGCTAATGCATAAGCCAGTGACCTTATTGAGAATGATACAAATATGTATTTGAGAAGAAATATAAAAGTTCAGTCTAGAAGCATAGCACAAATGACAACTATTTGTAAACTGTGAGAGAGGAAATGTTCTTTGAGACTATCAAAGCATCCTTGGGTGGTTTTAAATCAAGTTTCAAAATAATCAGCGTTTTTTTTTTTTTAAAGCACTGTAGTTCACTTAGTTAAATACTAATACCTGCTGTTCAAAGTATGTGGGTAGGTTAAAAATAAGGCCAAAATATAATTTCTAAAAGGTTGAATTGAAGGGTAATTCATACACTGAAGATCACACCCACGCTTTCCATCCTGGGAAAAGCCAGCTGAGATTTTTGGGGTCCATGGCCTGTTGTATGAGCAAATTCACCTGTCCACCCACACTGAGCACAGTTCCTTCCTCCACTCCTTTCAGCTTCTCTTGCAGTCTCATCAAGACACGTTCAGCTACTTTATTGAAACTCTGGTCAATATCACTATTGACAAAAACACAAAGATTTCAATGATGGGGAACACTTTAAAGGGCCTTGGGAATAGGAAAATCTGAACAATTGACAATAGGTCCTTCCTAAAATACTGCTCACCTGACATTTCGTTTGCATTCTTGGTCATCTGCATTCAGAGTGGAGTTGAGTTCAGTTTCATCTTCTGGCCTCTGCTGTAAATACAAAGCTTTCAAAGGATTCATGGTCCAGTCAAAGAGAGGATCATACAGGAGGACCTAAATAGAGAGAACATATGTATTAGAAGAACACTGCATTTTGAAGATGTATTTAGAAATAGAAGAACCAGTATGATAAAATAACAGAGGCCAGTCACATGATAATTTATTAGGGGCTGGCGGGGGTGGAGGGGGGAAGCCTTATCGCATGTGCCTTGTGAATCCTGGTGAAGAAAACTATACTAGTGTAATTGCTCTGGGCTTCTCACCCCATCCTCAATTCACTCTTCTTCCATGGTTGGGGAATGACATCCCTTGGCCTGCATTTCCTGACTGAGTGAAACAAATCTATTAAAAGGAGGTACTAGTCACTTTCTTTCCTCTTCTCTCTGCTCTTGACTAGTGTGGTCTTGGGGAGGGGCATCTGCTTTGCAGGCCCCAATTCTCCCTCAGGTGGGCTTTTCTCAAGGTATAGATTAGACTGTGGGGGTCCGAGAGTACTAGCAAGCCTATCTGGACCTCACTCCTAAGCCATGTTCTCCACAAGAGTAATAAAGCTAACATTTTCATCTCCATCCTACTCCTGTGGCTCTCTTTTTCTCTCAATTTGTTCCAAACATAGGTAGAGGAAAAAAAGTATAATTATTGAAACTTCCTGAAAGCCCTGAGATCTGGTGCTGTGGTTGAGATCTGGAGATACATATAAAGAGCAGAATTTGGGTACAAAAATAACTGGCATTGCCAGAATAAGTAGCTCTAAGTCTTAAATTTTAAAAAGTGAGGTCATTTGGGCTGGGATTTTTGACCTTGGCAGGACAGAAGAGCTAACTGCCCCTGGTGTTTATAAGCACTTTTTTTTTTTTTAATAGCCAGGCCTTAGCAAAAGTTTACCATATTACAGAGAAGAGTGATTCTGTTGGCTATTCCAGCATTATAAGGATGGAACACTTTTTTTTTTTTGCTGCTGCCTTGATTGTGCTTCTCAGTGGGTCTGCAGGCTGGGACTATAAAATTCCTTTAGCATAACATTTTTTAATTTCAGGTTAAGTGCTAGATCAACAGTACTAAAATCTGGCCATTTTCTTACACTGTTTTTAGTATCCTCTTGGACATTAAAAACTGGAGGGACTAACTAACCTTAAGTTCACGTGGCTGTCCATAGGGTCCCTATGTGACCTCAAGTTGGGCAATGACATGGCTTTAAGAGTTTAGAAACCCAGACCAGTTTCATTCAGAAAAGAAAGGTATATTTTATTAATGAACTAATGAAAAGGAATGGAAGACTCTATTATAAAGAGACTATATGATTGTGGGTTGAGGCAGAGAAACAACACAAATTATTTCAAACTCAAGGTCTTGTGTCAGGAATCATATCTGCAAATATTTGGAATTAAGGAGGAACTGGAGTAGCTTGAAAAATATGCTTTAGCCCTACTTACTATAAGAACAGAAGTGACTGAATGAAAACATTAAAGAAATACAGACTGATTAAGCTACAGTAGGTTTCTCAACCTCAGTAATACAGACATTTTTGGGCTGGATACTTCATTGTTGTGGAGGGCTGTCCTGTGCATTGTAAGATGTTTACCAGCAACCCCAGCCTCTACACAGCAGATGCCAGTAGTATATCTCCATCCTCCTAGTTGCAACAACCACAAATGTCTCCAGACCTTGCCAAATCTCCTCTGAGGGATAAAACTGCCCTTAGCTAAGAATCTCTTAGCTAGAGGGAGAGAAAGATTTCCTTAGTAGAATGGATGAGATACCGGAGGACAGAATGGTCCACTACGAAGAAGACGAGATCTTGAAGGCCAGGAGAGACAGATATAATGAGAGGGAAGATGCACCCAAGTCAACGTGCTCCTTCAGAAGGACTTAGGAAGTGGGGAGATGTTATAATTGTTAGTAGATCAGAAACGGTGACCATTGCTCAATGAAATCTAACAGAAACAGAGAAATGAATCCAAGAGATGAGACTGGAATGACATTACAAAAGATTGGGACCCAGGATGCTATTGAGAAGCACCCTCTTAAAGCTGTAGACAAAATCCACAGTAAGAAGGAGGAAACTACTCTTGACCTACCAAGTGATTCTAGGAAATCTAGAAAAATTTACAGTGGGAAGATCAGTGTAAAATTCAGAGAATTAGAGGGGAAGTTTATAAGTGACACCGTTACTGTAGGTGGAGATACAAGTCACTTCTCTGCTCAAAACCTTCTAAAAGCTTCCATCTAGCTCAGAGTAAAATCCAAAGTCCTGAAAATAGTGTAGTCATCCCAATGTGGTCTGGCTGGCGATTGTTACTTGTCTACTTAATCTCCTCCCACTCTAAAGAATGAGGCTTACATAAGCAATCTGGCATTGGACTAATAAACCTTTTCAGGTCCTGAAAGAACTACCAAATCTACCCAGGCATAAAAACGCTTCTGACAGGGACTGAGCAGAATAAAACACTGAGGAATGTATTAAACTTCTTTGGACCTTAAATCAATTTGAAAAGTTATGATTTTTTTTTTTTGTCTTAAATGCAAAAGGAAAAGATAATTTGATTTTGGACTTTAATTTCTACATTATTGAGGCATCCATGTTATGATTTATTCTTACTCAGGAATACTGGCAAATTCTAATAAATGACAGCATGTAGGAACATAATTTGAAATGGGAACTAGAAAAGGAAATGAATTTTCAGCCTTGAGAATAGCATAGCCTTGGATTTAATTTTTTCAACATACTATTTGGATCCATTTTAGAGGCTCCTTGTAGCAAAATCTGTATTACTATCAGAAGTCCAAAGAAGATCTAGCAAGAGACTTTGGTTCAAAAAGATGGACACAGAACTACTCTGACAGACTGTTAATGTCATTCCCCATAGGATAAATCGTTTCTGTGTTGACCACAGGCTTAATGGTTAATGCCAGAGAATTAAGGGAGTGATTCTCAACCCTCATTGCATAACAGAATCTTTAGAATCTCAACCGTGGCTACACCATAGAGAGATTTTAAAAAATACAAATGTTCCTGGCTCCATGCCTAAATATTTGGTTTGAATTTGGCCAGCATTGATATTTTCAAAAAGTAGTACAGGTGATTCTAATGTGCAGCCAGGTCCAGAACCACCAGGCTAAAGGAAAAAACAACCTGAATAATGTAAGGGAGGCATGCCCATACTCTACTTCCCATGATTCTTTGTGGAGGAAACAGTCCTGACTCTTGCCTCACACGTCCCTTACCATGTTGGTGAATGACTGCCACTCGTACAATTCTTGCTTGGGTAGACCGAATGTCATAAACCAAAACCAAACCCGTTGCCATCGAGTCGATCACGACTCATCATAAGCACTGGAAATTTGTCTTTCTCCCGTTTCTGCCCTGGATCAACATGAGACAGTGATCCTGATTAAGTATGGATGCTCTGCAGGTCCAAGCCCCTACTCAGGTGAGCTGTCCCAAGGTTAAGACAGCAGAGAGGCACTGAGGGAGCCCCCCTGCAGCCGCCAGCCAGTTTGGCCCTCACTCCTAAACCATGATCCCTCCAATCTCCGCCTGTCTGACTGGTTCTAAACCTGGGCAGGGCAAAAGAAGATATAATTTAGTGATCTCTTTTAAACCTCAATAGAAATCATTCAGAAGACAGTAATACTATAATGGATATCTAAGAAGTCAAAGTGCTGATTTATGTACTGAAGACTAGAGATTACTTATAATACATTCCAAGAAACATGAGGGGATGGGAAGCATTTCTAAACCAATACTTATTGATGCGTGAGAATGCTTGGTTGTGCAACCTCCTCGCTCCTGCTGCCCAGCATCATCCCATCATATTAAAGTGAAGCAGTGATCCTCAAATCAGTGACTTCCTCATAAGGCACACAGTTTGCCATGGACAGAAATAAAGCTTTCCTCATCACAGACATTTACCTCTACAATGGTTAACAGGGTTTCCTGAGAGTTTCTCATGACCTCCATAGTTTTCTCACAGCATCTACAGAATCAAATACATTGTAATTATGGATTTGGTTGCACATCAACGTTTTTAACATATCTTTATATACACTCCCATGTAGTATGGTGACACTATCCTTGTTAATAAATTCCAAAATGTATATCTCAAAGAGCACAGTACTTGGCAGAGTGGACTTTCAATAGCTGTTTCTGAAATGAATACAAATATATACGTGCAAATCTTCATTTATAAGCTTAACGTGTATAAGGATAACAATACTACTATGAAACGTTTCTTTGAGTCTTTGGTTAATTGTGGTAATTATCAGCTTGAAAACTGTTCCAATAAAATTTGAGCACACAGACTTATGGTGTGAAAACTACAGGGAACTGCAAAACCCTTTTAGCAAGAACTTGTAATAGAATATAAGCTCAAGACAAAAACGGCATCTTTTATATCACCAACAATGACAACCAACAGTAGTTCTGCTCAGTAAAAAGAAAGAGTTAGCTAGTACACAGGCTTTAAAGGTAAAGGGGTGCTGCTTCCAGAATCAGAGCATGTATGATATACTGGGTTAGGCCTCAGGCAGCCTGAAGGAAAGGGAATCTATTGGTGCTTTTACCCAGGGTCTTTTTTCTTAGTACTGCCAAAGCACTAGAAAGTAATCCTAGCACTGAGTTCTATAATATATAGAAAGCTATGATCCAAATAATTTTGATGCCTGAAACCCTCTGCCCACCTCACCTTACATCACTTACCTTCTGAAGACTCCTTCAACACCAGTGATGCCCATCCCATCCACAATATCTCTGGTGAGTCTAAAAGGAACTGTTTCAGGAGTAGGAAGGATTTTACCCTGTTCAAAAGCAACCCCTGAAGTAAAAAATACAGTCAGATTAGGAGGTTTGGCAGCCAGTTTGTATTTTTCCCAACAGGCAAGTGAACTTCACAAAGGCACAAACTAATCAGTCACCTATATTCTACTAGTACTAGAACACATAGTAGTTCATTCCACTTCTGCTCTACATGCCTTCACCACCTCCATGATTGTCTATTAGATCCTCTGCAAATTCAAAAATATAACTACCTTCTTGATGTAATTAGAGAAATCTATATTGAAGGGTGATTTTTTAAAATGAAGTAATGATTATAGAATTTAAAATGTAGGAATTATACATATATATGTACACAATTTTTTTTATTAACCTTTTTTATTTTGAGATAATTACAGGTTTACATGCAGTTGTAAGAAATAAAACAGAAAGGTTATCCCATGTACTTTTCTCTAGTTTCTCCACCGGTAACATCTTGCAATACTGTAGTACACTCATGCACTGCTGCTGGGAATATAAAACGGTACAGAAGCTATGGAAAAAAGTTTGGTGGTTCCTTAAAAAGTTAAACATAGAATTACCATATGACCCAGCAATTCCACTCACGGGTATATACCCAAGAGACATGAAAGCAGGGACTCAGACAGATACCTGTACACCAATGTTCACTGCAGCATTATAGCTAAAAGATGGAAACAATCCAACTGTCCCTTAGCAGATGAATGGATAAACGAAATGTGGTATACGCACACACAATGGAATATTACTCAGCCAGAAAGAGAAATGAAGTGCTAATATGTGCTACAACACAGAGGAACCTTGAAAACATGCTGAGTAAAATAAGTCAGACACAAAAGCACAAATATTGTATCATCCCATTTAAATGAAATACACAGAATAGGCAAAGGAGCCCTGGCGGTGCAGTGGTTAAGTGCTCGGCTGCTAAAGGTTGGCGACTCAAACCCACTAGCCATTCTGAGGGAGAAAGATGTGGCAGCTGGCTTCCCTAAAGACTTATGGCCTTGGCAAACGCATAGAGAGAAAGGTCTATTAGTGGTTACCAGAGGCTGGGGGAGGGGAATGGGAATTACAGCTGCAGGGGTACTGAGTTTCTGTTTGGGGTGATAAAAACCTTTTGGAAATAGTAGTGATGGTAGCACAACATGCTAAGTGTAATTAATGTCACTGAATTGTACACTTAAAAATGGTTAAAATGGCAAACTTTTTGTGATATAAAATTTACCACAATAAAAAACAAAAACAAAAAACTATAGTACAATATCACAACCAGAATACTGACACTGACATAGTCATGTTGTCCTTTTACAGCCACACTACTTTCCTCCCATTTTTCCCACCCCTCATTCTTAACTCTTGGCAACCACTAATCTGTTCTCCATTTCTATAATTCTGTCATTTCAAGTATTGTATAAATGGAGACATTCAGTATGTAACTTTTTGGGATTGCCTTTTTTCACTCAGCATAATTCTTGGGAGATTTATTCAAGTTTTTCAGAATATCGATACTTCATTTCTTCTTATTACTCAGTACTATTCATTCCATGGTATGGATGTACCACAGTTTGTTTAATCCTTCACCCACTGAAAGACATCTCGACTGTTTCCAGTTTTTGGCTATTATAAACAAAGCCGCTATAAGCACAGGTTTGTGTGAACAATATTTTCACATCTCTTGAATAAATGCCCAAGAGTAAAACTGCCGGATTGTATACTAGTTGTATATTTAGTGTTTAGTTTTTGAAAAAACTGCCAAACTGTTTTCCAGAGTGGCTGCAGCATTTTACATTCCCCCCAGCAATGTATCCAGTTTCTCTATATCCTCACCAACATTTGGTGACGTCACTATTTCTTATTTTAGCCATTACGATCGGTGTGTAGTGATATCTAATTGTGGTTTTAATTTGTATTCCTTTTTGTGTGCTTATTTGCCATTTTTGTATCTTCTCTGGTGAAATGCCTATTCATGCCTTTCCCCCATTTTTTTTTTTTTTTTCCTGTGTGTGTGTATGGACATAAGCTTTTTTTAAATTGTGTTTTAGGTGCAAATTAGTTTCTCATTCAAAAATTTAAACACAAATTATTTTCTGACATTGGTTGCAATCCATGCAATATGTCAGCAGCCTCCCCCTTTCCCTTTACATCTCGAGTTACCCGTGTCCATTCATGCAGGTTTCCTGTCCCTTCCTGCCTTCTTGTCTTTGCTTTTTTGGGCAGGTGTGACCCATTTGTCTCGTATACTTGATTGAACTAAGAAGCACGTTCCTCATGTGTGTTATTGTTTTATAGGCCTGTCTAATCTTTGGCTGAAAGGGGTGGACTTCAGGAATAGCTTCAGTTCTGAGTTAGCAGCGTGTCCAGAGGCCAAAGACTCGGGGGTTCCTCCAGTCTCTGTCAGACCAGTAAGACTGGTCTTTTTTTGTGAATTTGATTTTTTTCTACATTTTTCTCTGTCTGGAACCCTCTATTGTGATCCCTGTCAGAGAGCTCAGTGGGGGTAGTCAGTCACCATCTAGTTTTTCTAGCCTCAGGCTGGTGGAGGCTGTGGTTCATGTGGTCCATTAGTCCTTTAGACTAATATTCTCCTTTGTTCCAAATATAATGTGACCAACAGATGTATTTTAGATGGCCGCTCATAAGCCTTTAAGATCCCAGACACTACTCACCAAAATACAATGTAGAATATTTTCTTTATGAACTATGTTATGGCAGTTGACCTAAATGTCCCCCTAGACCATGGTCCCCAGCCCTCAGCCCCAGTGACTTAGTCCCTCAAGGTGTGTGGATGTGTCTAGGAAGCTTCTATGGCTTGGCCTTGGTCAGGTTGTGCTGACTTCCCCTATATTCTGCTCTTTCCCCCATTTTGGACTGTTAGATTTATTTTTACTGGTGAGTTTTGAGAGTTCTTTAGAAATCCTAGACACTAGTACATTGTTGGATTTGTGATTTACAATTATTTTCTCCCAGTCTGTAGCTTGTCTTTTCATCCTCTTAACAGTTGTTTGCAAAGCAAACATCTTTAATTTTTATGAAGTCCAGTGTATTAATTTTTCCATTTATGGATTGTGATTTTGGTGTCAAATCTAAGAACTTTTTGCCTCACCCTAGATGCTGAAGATTTTGTTTTTTCCTAAAAGTTTTATAGTTTTGCATTTAAGTCCAAGATCCATTTTGAGTTAATTTCTGTGTAAGGTGTGAGGTTTAGATTGAGATTTTTTTTTTTATCTACCAATGTCACTTGCTCCACTACCATTTGCTGAAAAGCTATCCTGAGGGCACTTTCCTATTCCAGATGATGTGGGTGAGAGGCTAAACAGTACTTTTGACAGATTTGTTGAGCTTATGGGAATAAATGTTGCGTTCAGCTGATAAATCCATCATCTTCTGAGTTAGGAACTTGAAAGGCTGCACCTTAAGAAAAAGATAAACTGGAAGGAGACAAATCCTCTTTGGAACTTCAGAACAGTTTTGAATTACAACCCAAAGTTGGATTAAGGTGATCCTGAGTTGCTAATGTGGCCTAGAAACTGACAAGAAACAACTGTAAATCCAGTCTAGTGGAAGACATCATCATCATCAAGCTATTTTCAGTATTCATTCTACATGGCCTTTCTGTATCAGATACCATTAACACCTTCTTCCTTCATGACATTTTTTCCTCTCTTGGCTTCTGCGTTTCCTCTAGTTTCCATTACTTGTTGATTATTCCTCAAACAGCCTTTTCCATGCTGGCATTCCTTACGATTGCATCCTTAGTCTTCTTTAACAAGGATGATGTGTAAGATGAGAATCTCCCCCAATCCAATGACTTCAACTAAAATCTATTTGCTGAAGGTTGTAGGTCTTTACCATTATGATTACCTTCTTTTTATTCCTATACATTAAATTTCTTTCTCCATCTGAAAATCCTGTTAGAAACAACCTTAGTTATCCTGGCATTTCCCTTTACCACTGTGTTTCCGTATCTTACATCACTGGTACAATCTACTACAAAAATGTCTATCAAATTTAATCTGCTGTTCTCGACAATTTTTGTCCAAATCTTCATCATCTACATTATTATAATTTCCCCTAACTTGTCTTCCTAATGCCAATACTGCTCCCTAAATTGCTCCTGAAATTATCTTTCCAAAAATCAAATATGATCATGTCCTGCTTAAATATATCTTCATTTACTTCCCACTGTTTAGCCAATTAAAGTCTAAACTCCTTAGCCTGGTTTTTTACGGTCAAGCACCAACCTATCTCTCAAGCTACTCAACTGCAAGCAAACATCACTCCAGCCACATTTCTCGTCTCACCATTCCCTCAACATGCTATACCTTCATTACTCCTTCTCTCAAATCTGCTCTGCCTTTTGTCTGGATTATCTTTCCTTTCTTTCTTTAAGACCTGACTCAAATGTCACCACTTCTAGTAAGTTTCACTCACTAGCCCAGATGCAGTTAGCTACTCCTTCCAGCATCACTGTGCTTATGCCTTTTTTAAAACAGTATTTATTACTTTGCTACGTCTGTCTCCCCCATACTTATAATATCTTAGTAGGCCAACAACATTTCTTGATGATCAAATATTTGTTAAATGGACTAAAACAAAAAAATTTCATTACTTACCTAAATCTATATGTACAAGTTCTGCTGACTGTTCGTTTATCAAGATATTTTGTACATGCCTATCACCAAGTCCAAGTATATAACCAACTGAAAAACAACATAAAATCACTGATTTCATCTAGTTTTATAACACATTTAGCCATAATTTAAACTCATACCACTTATTCTATATAATTTTTTAGTAGTTTAGGCTTTGTAGTCTACTTATTAGGAAATTATGTATATAACTGGCCATTTTGGGCTAAAGTTCAAATCTTGCCAGCTATTTTCACATGCATGACATTTTATAAATCCTAGATAGTTTGCTAAAAAATGTTCTCCCTTTACTAATAGGCACATTTTAAAATACTAGTACTTCAAAAATTAACATGTTTAAAGTTGAGACCCATTATTTACCAGGGCCAAAGTAGCATATTATATGTACTCAAATACTTATTGAATGTACTCTGTGTAAATTCTTCATTCTTCAGTGAAACTTTCTTCTGCTTCATGAATTATATTGGTGTTACAGAAAAAAACAGTGGATAGGGAAGTTAGGATGTTTGAGTTCCTGACAGCTTTGTCATTAACGGGACATACTTCCTAATTTATAAACAAATTAGTTGAATCATATTAGTGATTCTCAGTATAGAAGAGGGTTGCACAATCACCTCTAAATTTTTTCAAAACATACATGCCCAGCCTCACTAGGCTATAGTACACAGTGACGGAAGGACTGGTCTTTATTTGAAAACCAGTATGTTACATGATCTCTGATATTCCTGTTAGTTCTCAAACTCTAGGATTTTGTTAATTACCTTACCTAGCTATCTAATCACTTAGAAATTAAAAAAAAAAGTCAAAATATATGTTGTATAATGAATATTTAAATATATACAATGATTTCTATTCCCCAAACAAAATTCTATTAAACAGAATCAATGTTTGGATAATAATATCATGGTATTATAGAGGTACTAGAAGAAGCCCTGGTGGTGCAGTGGTTAAGAGTTATGGCTGCTAACCAAAAGGCTGGTAGTTCAAATCCACCATCTGCTCCTTGGAAACCCTATGGGCAGTTCTACTCTATCCTATAGGGTCACATGAGTTGGAATCAATTCGACAGCAATGGGTTTTTTATGCAAAAGAACAATAATGAAAGGAAATAAATGGAGTTATCACAGGTATTATTCCTTTCCAAAGAAAATCTCAGGAAATAATATATTGAGGAAAGGGAAAATAAGCCATATTTGCAATAAAGCAAACAACAGGAATAACCAGTCTTATTTTCCTACCTCAGAGTAGGAGAATTCTCTCCTGTAAAAGCCAACTTTAGAATGTAAGAATCAAGATGAATAAGAAACACAATCCCCTAATGATGAAGATGGTTTGGTTAATAACCACCACTACCCCCTGCAATCAGAATGCAGGAAGTACTGAATCTACTATGATGTACAGGAACATTACCAATAGAAGAAGTAGCCACACTGCGGGTGTAAGCCAATCGTTTCTCAAACCAAACAGCTGGGTCCAAGAATTTCTCCATGCAGAAATAACGGAAAACTGGCTGAAAATTCTGGCAAATATCCATAAAGGCTGCATATTTCTCTTCAAAAGACTTCTTTTGCACCTCCTTTAAATAGACCATAAAAATTATTTGCCCATTATATGTCAACTAATTCAACAAATACTAAGCATTTCTATACGAAAATATTATGATAGGTACAGGGGAGATAAAAAGATGAACAAGATATCATCTCCACCCACAAGAAGCTAATAGTCTGGTCAGGGAAGCCATTAATTACAAGTTTATTCCCTTTAGGTTTTCATATTAATCCTACGGGAAGGATTTAATTAAATTCTAACTTGAATGATCCTGTAATATCGGTGTAAGTAAACCCAGGAATGCCAAGGGTAGCTCCAGGTAATCTCAGATGGTGTCACAGGACTAGGGGTGCAATGAAAAACAAAGAAAAGGAGGCAAAATGGAAGAATCACTGGTGGATAGTGAAGGAGTTGACACTAACCAGATCTCTGTCTTCCAACATCTTCTCACTATATATACCTTCCTGAGGCAAAGCTTGTCTACTTTAATGGGCTCAACTCCCATCTATACGCTGTGTATCTTTGGCCCATATGTTTATTATGCTTGAGCTTGATGTGCTTCTCTGTCTACACAAAATCTTCACTTGGACTGCCTCCAAATCCAAATTAATCCACCTCCTCATCCTTGGCAAACCTCAGCCACCTCTGCTATTACTCAACTTGGTAAACAGCCTCACCATCTACCCAGTCACTCCAACCAGAAAACTGGGAGGCACTGACTACTCCTTCTCCCCAATTCTACTACTAATCAGCAACCAAATCCTACCAGTTCTGCCTCATTAATATTTCTCATGTCTACCCACTGAACTCTCCAGCTGCTCTTTGGGAGAAAAGACCTGGCAATCTTGTTCTGGTGAAGATTACAGCCTAGGAAACTCTATGGGGCAGTTCTACTCTGTCATACAGAGTCACTATGAGTCAGAATTGACTTGACGGCAAACAACAAGCACCCACTATTCTCCACCACTACTGTTACTAGTTTTAGTTCAGAACTCTTGGCTTCATACCTCCAGCTGGCTTTCTTAAAAACATAACCCACAGTGCTGCCAGTTATCTTTATATCTAAAATGTAAATTTGATATTACTCTCCTCAACATACTGCCTACAGGATAGCCCAAACTTCTTAGCATTTCATAAAGCAAACCTCCATTTTTGACCAATGACTCCTGCTCCAACTGCATCTATCTATTCCTCCTCAAATACTAAGCCCATGTTGTTTTCAACTATTTGTTCATGCCTCCTTCCCTTTGTATGCTCCTTCTGCCTGGAACACCAACTCATTTACAAAACTGAGCTCAAACACCATTTCCTCTATGAAATCTTTCTTGAATCTAATTCTCCCCAAACCTTAGCCCAGGTAAAACTAACCACTTCCTCCTCTTGCCTACACTGTATTCTCTATACCCAGTACAGCCTTCCATCACAATGACTATGAAACTTTATCACACATTTTTAAAAACATTTAAACATTTAAAAAGCACAATGAAAGGAAAAGTAAATGGATTCTGTAGTTGGACAAAGTTCAAATCCTCACTCCACCACTTATTAGCTGATTGACTTGAGCAAGTGGAAGCTTTCTGAGCTTCCTCTCATCTTAAAATAGGAACAATTACAGTGATAATTAGTCGTAACATTTGTGAAGTCTCAGCATAGTACCAGGTAGATAGGAGACATTCAATAAACGTTGCTGACTGGGTGGATGTCAGACCAGATGGCCAAGGTGACATGGCAAATCTTTTAAAATTATTTCATAATCTGTTTCTTTTTTTTGTTAAGAATTAGCTTACCCTAAATGGAAAACAAATTAGCATACACTGAATAATGTTTAACTCAATTTCTCACCTGACCAGGGTTGACACTTTAAGTGGTTTAATAACTTTCCTTTTTCACTCACACACACTTTCATCGCGGTGAGTTTACTTTCTTTTATTTAGTATCTTCATGCCTCATTAAATGAAAACTTTTTGTATTATGTAATATTTGAGAACTGTCAGCTGTGATAAGCAACTGAATAATCTTGCAGTAACTTTTGAGTACCACTTACCATCATTTTCTTTTGGCACTGATAGGCACTGAAATCCTTTGGCCTGTATCTCTTATGAGCACCATCTTCATTGTTAACAAGAAACTCGCCAATGGGGACAGTTCCTGTGCACCATTCAAGAACACCACTTCGTTGAGATAGGGGAACCACCTGAAATTACGAATTAAACACCTTTTGATTATGGAAGGGCATCTGATGACCATTTAACTATTAGAGCCAGTGCAAAGCATTTTTTCAGTCTCCTTTGAGAAAACCTGTTGTTGTCGAGTTGGGACACATCTAGGTCCACTGGCAAAACACAGTTCATAAAGATAATGGTTTACATCCTAGTCTGGTGAGTAGGGCCTGGGGTCTTAAAAGCTTGAGAGCAGCCATCTAAAAAGCAACTATTGGTTAAACTGCTCTGCTGCTCACCAAAAGGTCAGCAGTTCAAACCTACCAGCCACTCCTTGGGAAAAAGATGTGACGGTCTGCTTCTGTAAAGATTACAACCTTGGAAACCCTATGGAGCAGTTCTATTCTGTCCTATAGGATTGCTATGAGTCAGAGTCGACTCAACGGCAACGGATTTGGGTTTCCTTACTTGGCTGTTTGCCTTTTAAGAGTTCTTTACATATTCTGCATATAAGTCCTTTGCTATTATTAACATTAGAAATTTATTTTCTCGGTTGGTTGCTGTATTTATGATAACTTTAATTCTATACATTTTTAATTTTAATGTATTCAAACATATTGAATTATGTTTTGTGCCTTAAGGCAGTCTCTCGTTAATTTATTAACATTTACATTATTGGGCGTCTATTACGTGTTACACGCTGTGCTAGGGCACTGAAAATGGAGTGGCAAATAAGGCAGATGAAGACCATGTCCTCATGCTTTGTCACATTAACATGCCTGCCCCTTAGTATATTCAGTCTAAGGTCGATTTTCCGTTGATTATTCCCTATCAATATATAGTTATGAGGGAAATATCAAATCCTTGTCTTTTGCTGAGAGACTGATCTAGAAAAGAACAGGTTGGCTCTTTCTTACCTCAGCTCAGAGTCCAACTGTGACAACGTTAGTTGATCGAGAAACAGTCCAATTTAAATTTCAAAGGGCAAATGACAGAGTTTTCCTCTAGTATTAAAGAGTCTTTGGAATAGCCTCTTTCAACTGGGTATTTGGGTATTTTGCATGGTATCTTAGTCATCTAGTGCTGCTCTAACAGAAATATCACAAGTGGATGGCTTTAACAAACAGAAGTTTATTTCTTCACAGTAAAGTAGGCTAAAAGTCCAAATTCAGTGCATCAGCTCCAGGGGAAGGCTTTCTCTCTCTGTCAGTCTTCTCATCAACGTTCCCCCGGACTAGGAGCTTCTCTGTGCAGGGACCCTGGGTCCAAAGCACACGCTCTGCTCCTGGCACTGCTTTCTTGGTGATATGAGGTCCCCCTGTCTCTCTGCTCACTTCTCTCTTTTAAATCTCAAGAGATTGCCTCAGGACACAATCCAATCTTGTAGACTGGGTCCAGCCTTACTAACACAACTGCCACCCATCCTCCCTCATTAACATCACAGAAGCAGGCTTTACAACATATAGGAAAATCACACAACACCAGGAATCAAGGCCCAGCCAAATTGATAAACACATTTTTTGGGAGACATATTTCAATCCATGACAAACGGGTATCACAAAAAGTGATTGTCACAGAAAATGATTAATGACTATTTCTCTATTCTCCCAAGGTACGTAAGTAGTACCTTCCTAAATGCATAGAATGAAATTAATTCATTATGTACAACGAATGCCTTAGGATATTATAGCTTCTCTCCCAGAACCCCAAAGGAGGATACTCTGAAATACATATCACAAAGAATAAAAACTATTTACTGGCATAAGGAAAAATGAAGAGTTAAGTGCAAAGCTTCTTTCTGCACTTAAGTATTGTTTATTAGGGATTTGCATTTTAGAAAATGAATGCACTAGCATTGAAAATGTTAGGCTTGCTGTTCAGCATACTTTGTAGCAATGTAGCTTTGGTAGAGAAAAATTAGGTCAGCCACACTGACTCTAGTTAATGTCAGAGCGCTATGTCTGAGTTATCAGCAAATACAATAGAAACTTTTGTCTTCCTTCATCGCCATCTGATTCTCCGACAAGCCATAGCTGGTGTGCCTAAAGAGGACACGTGAGATTTAGGTGCCAACAGCTAGTTCCATGTAATGTCCCTTCTGGTTGACACAATGATCACAGGAGGCCTGAAAGCCAGGACAGGAAATGACTCCACGGAAGATGTGGACTAGGTACACTGCTTCTCTACAGCACTGCCAGGAGTCAAGGACAACTAGTTCAACGTACTGAAGACACAGCTTGTACATTCCTGGAGTAATCTCAGGATAACAGAACTACCGTCCAAAAGAATCCTAAGTAACAACTGAGTTAAATCTAAACTCTCATGTTTATGAGAGGTCATACTTTAATGTTCAGATGAATAACATTAAACAACTCAGTTTTCTGGGTTCTCAGTAGTTCTGCTCAAAAATTAGATATTAAAGAAGTCATAAGGTAAAAAGAGAGGTTTAGCAATTTCTGCCTTCAAAATATCCTTGGTTAAGGTCTTCTCTCTTTCATGCTTTATAGCAATAAACTTCGGAGGTTCAACTGTGTGTTTGCTTGGATACTTTAGCTGCTTTCTGAGAAAATCAGGAGGTAATTCTGTAGTGCAAACTTCTGTAACCCACATCTTTGCCAGCTAAAAGCCTGGCATTTAGAGCATAAAGATCCATTCAATCACATTATAGAATATCTGCTAAGCACTTCTTAACAACTTTTTAAATTACCTGCTAGATGTGAGACTGCTAACAGCTCCTCAACTTTTGTCTTATAACTAAGCCAGATCAAAGACAGCAAAGTAACTAGACTGGTAATTCCCAAAGTGTGGTCGCTGGTGTCTTGCTAGAAATGTACATCGTCAGGCACCACCCTAGACCTAATGAATTAGAAATTCCGAGGATGGGGCTCAGCAATCTGTGTTTTAATAAACCTCCAAGTGATTCTGATGCCTGCTAAAGTTTGAGTACCACTGATCGAAGCCACATAAAAGAGATTCCTCTACAGAAAAGCTTTCACAGAACTTTGCATTTAACTTTTATTCTTAGTATTCACTGAGGACTAACTAGGTTTTTTGTTGTTGTTGTTGTTTTAACTGCCAATGGAAAGCATTATATTAGCCAACATCTCAGAGTTGCACTGACAAATTTCTCACAAACCTGAAGGCTAAACAACACTATGCTTCCTCCCACCTTGCCCCCCACTAATGGGTTTTATATATATATACATATATTTTTTTTTTTTTCCAAAGGCAGCTAAGAAGCTTTACATTCTGCTTTCCAGTGCAATAGCCTGAGTTAATCAGAATTTTAGAGGGTAGATCTCTCTTTCCACACTACCCTAACTATTTGGGTTTTTTATTTTAACCGTAACTTCTACAGTCAGAAAAAAGGCAAATTCATTGTGGAAAACTCAAAATATATACAAAAGCAGGTGTCGCCCATAATCCCATCATGCCCAGAGATGATAACATCTTTAGGCTTATTCAGAGAGTTAAAAATCATAGTTACATATTGAATTGTTAGAAATTTGTACATAAACAACTGTTTTAAGGCTACTTTTTCTGTTTTACTGATCCACCTGTTCTTATTCTAGAAATCATACTATCTGTATTATTAAAGCTTTATAATTTTAGTATGATTTCATAAAGCCTACTCGTACCTATTGCTTTCAAAAACATTTTAGTAATTCTTACCCTATATATATATATACACACACACACATATATATATACACACACATATATATATTTTAAATTGTACTTTAGATGAAGGTTTACAGAACTAGCTTCTCATTAAACAGTACACATATTGTTTTATGACACTGATTAACAACCCCATGACATGTCAACACTCTCCCTTCTCAACCTTGAGTTCCCTATTACCAGCTTTCCTGTCCCCTCCTGCCTTCTAGTTCTTGTCCCTGGGCTGGTATACCCCCTGAGTATTGTTTTGTTTTAAGGGCCTGTCTAATCTTTGGCTGAAGGGTGAACCTTGGGAGTGACTTCATTACTGAGATGAAAGGGCGTCCACGGGCCATGCTCTTGGGGTTTCTCCAGTCTCTGTCAGGCCAGTAAGTCTGGTCTTTTTTTGTGAGTTGGAATTTTGTTCTACATTTTTCTCCAGCTCTGTCTGGGACCCTCTATTGCGATCCCTGTCACAGCAGTAGCTGGTGGTAGCCAGGTACCATCTAGTTGTATTGGACTCAGGCTAGTGGAGGTCATGGTAGTTGTCATCCATTAGTCCTTTGGACTAATCTTTCCCTTGTATCTTTAATTTTCTTCATTCTCCCTTGCTCTCGAAGGGGTGAGACCAGTGGAGTATCTTAGATGGCTGCTCACAGGCTTTTAGGACCCCAGACCAATATATTTTTCAAGATAAATCTTTAATTCAAGAAGCTGCAAAAAAATTCAGCTGGAAATTTTATTGGAATTTCATTGTCTATACATTAATTTAAAATGAATTGACATTTTTCAATGTCTTCCCATTTAACACATGGTACTTCTCTCTTATCGTAGTTTTCCTTTACTCTTTGTTATTATATTTTTATACTCTTTTTTCCCATGCAGGCCTGCAGCTTCTTGTAAACATTACTCCTAGGCAGTTTATTTGTATTACATACTTTTTATTATTGTGAAATGGGCTTGGCTTTTTTTCATTATATTTTTAAATGAGCCTTAGTTAATGGTTAGCATAGCTCTAGGTTAAGTGGGGTTAACGTGCTAGAATAAATAAACAATTGTTGGTATGTACCATTTTGTGGGTGTAAGAAGCAGATATAAGACTTGAGCGTCTTTGGAAGATTACTGCTTCTCTACTAGGCAGTGAATTAGCTACATATTTTTCTTAATTTGTTTATATCCTCACAGAAACAGGAAAAACAAATAAACAAGCAAGTGAGAAAAAAATGAGATAAAGAAAACCAGAAAGGAGATGGTATAACAAACCTATGGAAAACAGGTTCTTCAAAATGAGGATATACTGTTATTTTTTAAAACGAAGACATTCTAAATGAATAGTCAATGTGAGGGCCAAAGATGATGAGCTAGTACAATAATGTGAATTGAGAACTGTCTTCTCAGGCAAACTGCTGGAGGAAATGCAAATCGGTGTACCCTTATTGAAGATAATCTGGCAATATCTACCAAAATTATAGATCCACTGACCCATCAATGCAACTTCTGAAAATCTGCTCCACAGATTTACTTGCATATGTATGAAATTATGTTTAAGGTTATTCACTATACCATTGTTTGCAACAACAAAAAACTGTGAACAACCCAAACACCCACTGATAGGGGAACTGTATAATGTAACTGTTAAAAATGAGAAAGAGCTCTAAAATATATTGTCAAGTACAAATGAAAATATACATGCTACCTCTTCTTCGATAAAGGGGGGAAATAGGAAAATACATTCATATTTTCTATCTGTATAACCCTGGAAACAAATAAAAATGGCACCTTATGGGTTTGGGGAGATGAAGCTGACAGTGGTAAGGGTGAGAAAAAACTTCTCTTTTTACACTTTTTCGTATTGCTTGGATTTTTGAAACATGCAAATTACCTAGTCAAAAATAAACAAATTTAAATTTTATAAAGCCTCTTTTATGTGCTACATTCTGCACTGAATCAGTTTCTTCCTAATACCTCTTTTCTTCTTATGAGCATTTTCATAACAGAAATAGGCCAAATGGCCAAAGACAGGGAAAAAAATACTTCAGTTGATTATCGGAAACACCTAACTGCAACTAACATTAATGGGTACTTTTAAAAAGAAAATAAAAAATGATACTGTATAAATCAGAGGTTAGCCTTTGGACCAAACCTAGCTCCAACCTGTTTCTGCACAGCCTGTGAGCTAAGAATGGTTTTTAACAGGTTTCAAAGGTTGTAAAGAAAAAACAAAGAAGAATATGCAGCAAAGACCTTATGTGCCCAACAAGCCTAAAATGTTTACTATCTGATCCTTAAGAGCAACGTCTGCCGACCCCTGGTCCAAATAATCGCATGTCTTATATGATCTTGGTGAAGCAGCAGAAGTACAAGCTAGTTACCTTGTATGTGCAGATAGTCAACTTCCTCTTTCTGGTTTCAGTGTTTCTCTGCAGTAATGTATTACACATTTGGAAAACCTGCTGCATGACAGCATCTTGTCTCAGGTCATCACGGCCCTTTAGAACAATCAAACACGAGTAACTAAGAGCAGTTCATTTTCTTTATTACTATAAAAGAGTCATTTCAGGATAACAGAAAGGCACTCAAAAATCAATTCCTCTTAAATAATTGAGATCTACTACCATTCTTTCATTAGAATAAGCTATAATTTGGGGTAGGCAGACAGGTTTAGAACAAGCAAGTTTCCCCCAGCTGCGTTTGTAATTTGACTAACGGGAACACCCCACCTGAGGGCACGCTGCAGCAACCTAGGTGGAGCAGCACTGTCTCTACTACTCGCCAGCAGTGCCCAAACAGCTCCCAAGAAAAGTCAGTGAGGGAGGAATGCTCTCCCTTTCTGGTACATTATGGAGCACTTCTCAGTGTTCAGTACACTGGACCATGGGCTTTCGCCTTGTACTATTCAAGGAAATAAGCCACAACCACTAAAATATTTTTTTCAAAACAAGCAAGCTGATTATTAATCTCATCATGTCTGCACATGTTAATGGTATTCTTCTAATCCAATTGTCACAATAATGGTCTTTTCAGACACAAAAAGATGGAGACAAGTATTCTGTTCTGGAAAATTATGTATTTCTACTCTGTAAGTTCTCCTTATTGGTGATTATTCAGAATAAAAATACAGATTCAAATAAAGCTGGAAGAAAATAACTAAAGTTTTCCTTTGGCTTCGAAGTCATTAACTCTAAGAACCACGCCAGAGAAGGGGAGCCGCACCTTGACAAGCTGTCTCCTTTCCTTGCCATCAGAGCCTACACAATCTATTATTTTCGGTAAATTTAAACCGCCTGCTAGACGAAATTCTGCTTTAAATGACTGTATAGTCACCAGATTTCCATATTCTCCTGTAGGGTCGACCTAATAAAAAGTACAAATATGACAATAGGTCAGATACATTATTTGCATTTAAAGAAAATGACAATTTTAATTTTAAACAGAGAAATAAATGACAACGTGCTGTTGGTTAAGAACCGGAACTATACTTTCTTGTTTAAACGAAAGATGTAAGATTTGCCATTGGAAAGGTTTAAAAAAGTGACATACAGATAAAACAACTGACCTAAAATTTCTCACCAAAGTTAGAACGGTGTTGCCAAAACACTACTGAAAAGCCAGGATTCAGGTCTTGCCACTTACTGCCAGTACATCACCTGAGAAATAACAACGCACAGAGATCCTATAGGACAGAGTAGAACTGCCCCAGAGAGTTTCCAAGGAGCGGCTGGTGTATTCGAACTGCCAACCTTTTGGTTAGCAGCTGGCTCTTAACCACTGTGCCACCAGCGCTCCTCCAAAAACACTAACCAGTTAAATTTTGGAAAAGGGTGAAGGAGAGTTTTCTATGTTATAAATGCTAAAATCTGGCATTTTCAGGAAAGAGCTAAATAACTTAGCTGTATAGCTAGAAAGATATTAATCTATATAATGCTGCTATATTTCAAATCAAATAATTACAGATACAAAGCACTAAACTGCAGACTCCAAGGTGAGATTTACAATGTAGCTAAAACAATTACTTTCTGAACTACAACCTTTATTATTATATATATTCCTGCCAACATGGTATTTCTACAGCAATAACCAATCATGACATAGCCAAAGAGATCATGTATATAGTCAACTTAATATTGTATACACTACAGTCAACTTAATGCATACAGAATTTTAAAAACCAGTATAAAACAATTATGAACTTTCTTGCCAAGTTAAAAATTAATCTTGGAATAAGTACATGGTTCCTTCTTCTAGCCAATCATGATGACAGTCATTTAGACTTTCTTCATAAGAGAGGTGGGAGATGTAAGACTGAAGGTAAAGAAAAAGAAAGCAGGAGAAGTCTCTTGAGTATTTTACGGCTCAGGCAAAGGGAATCTAATAAAGAAAAATTATAGGTTGAACCATAGGAAACCACCGATATTTAACCAATTTTGACCTATAATAAAAAGCTATTTCAAATGGTTCAATCTAATAAAGAGGAATTTAGTTTAATTAAAACAATTAAAACTGTTAATGCTAAATTACCTTAATTTCCATAGTGGGGACAACAACATCTTCTAAATTCTTAAGTTTAGTAATTGGCTGGTCTGCCGGAATATTTATGCCTTCTGCATTTAAAATGAAGAGATTTTAGTGACATCTGCAAACTAAGGAAAAGCGCTGAAATTTACATAAAGCAGGAGTATTCAGCAGATGCCATAAACCCCAACTTGGGTCTAATCTGTGGTTCAGGCCCTGATTTAGAAATAAAGATCCAGGGCTTGAGACATGTAGATCAGAGGCAAAGCACAGCAATGGTGACTCATGGTGACCCAACATACAATGGGAATGAACTGTTGCAATTCATAGGGTTTTCACTGGCTGATTTTTTGGCAGTAGATCGCCAGGACTTTCTTCTTAATTTGTCTTAGTCTGGAAGCTCCGCTGAAATGTGTTCAGCATGATAGCAATATGCAAGCCGCCACTGATAGACGGGTGGTGACTGTGTTTGAGGTGCACTGGCTGGGAATCAAACCTGGGCATCTTGTACTGAGGGCAAGAATTCTACCACGGAATCACCAATGCTCGTCATTTAGTATATTCACCTACTATCAGTTGCAACAAAAGATATTATGTGAAAAAGTGACTGTGCGGTGTTGAAGCCATTAGATAGATAAAAATTAAGTTTTTGGATCACGTGTGAACTATAATCATCAGGTCCTTCATATTTGCAATCACAGCATTATTTGTGATTTTAAACAGATTTACACATTAGACTCTATAATGAATATATCCTTACAGAGAATAACATAGCAAGAAAGCAACATTCATTCTTTCAAACACATACTTCTTTGAGTCTTCCACTGACTGGCATCTAAGTTTGCTAACAGAATATAAGCATCACAAAGTGCCTCAACATTTCTGACCATCTGAGGTCTCCTACTTTTGATAGTACATATTATTTTGTTTGCAGCTTCAGTTCGATCCTATTAAAAAAAAAAAAAGACAACCAAAAACCATTACATGAGGAAATACAAAATACACAACACTTACTAAACTATTCAGAGTTACAATAAATGAAAAAACAGGATTTGTGCATAGAACTAAAGAACGTAAGAACTATAATTCCTCAGATGCAAACAAAGCAATCACCTTATGATTGAAATGTATCATTAGTAGCCTCAAGAGTCATGACTCAGATGCTTTTTAAAACCTTTTTTTTTCCTTTGCCCGTTGCCATAAAGAAAAAAAGTAAAATACTATTGGTATTTCCTATACTTTGAGAAACATTCAGAAACCATGAACTAATTTTAGTTGGTATCATGACAAAGGATTTTAAAGCTGAATACTGTCAACAACACACATTCTTAGACTCCCTGAGACTTAAGAAAGGAATATTATGGGAAAGAATGAATATCACAATTCAAAAAGGTATTATGTTTAATCCGAATACCTCATCAAGCTGAGAGCTTTGTTTGGGTGCATTTTTTGTTATTCTATTCCTTCTTGCTGCCTCTGGTTTGGTCAGAAACTCATCTTTATTTGCATTTGCTAAGGCCAGTATAATAAACAAAGTATGATGGGGATGATCCACCGAAATTCTAGAGATGAGCTGTCAAAAAATTAAGAACTATCAGTTTTATGCAAACAAACAAAAAACCACAAAATCCACACTAGAATGGACATAATTTTTTTTCATTTTGCTTAACATTAAAATGTGTTATATTACATATTGCAGTGGGTGAAGTGTATTTATGTCTGTGTGTGAGAAAGACAGAGGCACATGAAGAATAAGAGAAAGAAATTGAGTAATTTATGTTAAGTGAGAAAGACAAAAGGAAATTCCATTCTTGCCCTTCAACAGCATAATAAAGATGACTAAAATTTTTTTATATTTCCAGTTTTTAGAGTGGAATGGTAATATATACTATATATAGTAATATACAAGAAAAGCAATTACTGTATTTTGATTTTCAGATTTACTTACATTATTAAGGACTTCATGAAATCCTAGGCCTCCCATCATCTTGGTTCCCATTCTAGCAGCCAATTGGTACATAAGAGGCAAAAATTTATATGATGGAATCTTCATTCCAACTCTCTACCATTAAAAAAAATACAAAGTTAAGAAACAATGCATTTCAAATGGTCTCGTATCCAAGCAAATAAATTATTCTAATTCTACTCTACTAGCACCACTGTCTAGTGGTTATTCACAAAACCTCACTAACTATATTTTTTTCTTTGTCATTTTTCTGATCCTAAAGCCTTTCTAATGGGTATTCTAGATCGATTCGCTGGTATGTCAAAGTGTTTGGCCCTAAATTAAACTGTATTCAGAACAGCTGGATACTTGGTACTGCTTATGTTCCAATGAATCCAAGGAGGACAAATGTTGATCTGAAGATTACTGTGATCTTGACTCCTGAGGAGCCAGTGTATACTAAAATGGAACCATTATTTTTTCCCTAGATGCCAAAAGTAGGATTTAGTGTGCGCTAGTAGCAGAGATTGGTTATACCTATTTTGAGTCTAATAATTCTTTTCATCCAAGAGAACCATTTTACTTTTGAGCTTGAAACTGATTGACTATATACTGTATAAACATAATTTTAACAGTAGATAGTCTCACTGGGTGTCCCTGAACTGGAGTCTCTGGGTGGTGCCAAATGGTCAATGCAGATCAATTATTTTAACTACTTGGCTTCTAATCAAAAGGTTAGAGGTTCAAGTCCACCCAGAGGCACCTTGGAAGAAAGGCCTGGTGTCTAATTCCAAAAACCCAGCCATTAAAAACCCTATGGAACACAATTCTACTCTGACACACATGGGGTTGCCATGAGTTGGAATTAACAGCAACTTGTCACTAAAATAAATTTTAAATACTTCTGAAATACTGCTGTTGATATTTTCCTTAAAAATATATATTTTTTCCATTTATAGATGTAATTCATTGTACAAATTCCAGAAAAGCATAAGGGGGCAGGGGTAGACACACCTGTGATTACATCATCTTTAACTGCTTTCTAATTCCCCTAATCTAGCATTCTGGGTACTCTCCTATGGTAATTACAAAGAAATAGGAAGAGAAAGACCTATTTTCTCACCTCCATCATTAGAGCTACTGTAAAGCAATGAGCTAAATGCTAGGGATATAATAGCTAACCATTTGCCGTAGAGTTGATTCCTGACATTGAGGGGCCTACGTCTGTTCTTTTAAAGCAAAGGCTAGAATACTGAGTTGAATAAAAAGACTTGCCTTCATCATGCCATTGACTTCAGAAATTGAAGCATTTTCAAGCCAGAGGGAACAAAGTCGGAATACCCACATATCATGCTCTTCTCCACTTAACAAGCAGTTGATGTAATTTTCAACTGCTTTACACAGGAAACGTTTACGGTCCTCTTTCAGTGCCTGGAGTGCACATTCATCCAGCTCCAGCTCTCGCTGAACCTTTACTGTGTATCTTGCAATGGATAATTAAAGTAAAATACATCAAATTTTATAGAACTACAAAATCATACAAACATAAATGATATAAAACATAAATGAAAACTCAGATGTCCACCCCAGGGGGAAAGGCAAATTCTAAGTATTATAAAGGCAACAAACTTACTTTTGCCTTAATTGCACAATTCACAAGCCTTCTTAGGTAACTGAAGACAAAGCTATTTAGTTAACTTTATCTCTACTTACAGTATAAACACAGACCAAAGGCAGGTTTGAATAAAGGGGTTTAATTACGTCAAAATAGTTATTTTTTCTTTGTTTAATTTCAACATCTCCTTTGAACTCTTACACCAACTAATAAACCAAAAACAAACAAAAACACCCAAAAGCTAACATCTACGTACTCTACAATGAATTTAGAACCAGAGCATGAATTCTTCAGAAAACAGCACGTCAATGCCTAACTCACTAATATAAGTTTTAATTAATCATTGTACAGCCAAGGCAATATATGTACTTATGCCAATCTTTAGCGCTCTAAATTATAAGTCAGATAAAAAAAAACTCACAACTTACACATATATATTAACTCAGTTAACTGCTGAACATAAAAAATTGTCCCTTCTAGACACCTAGTTACCTGGTGGTCTGAATTTTATGCTCCTTAAGGAGGCCCACTTCCTCTTTGGCCCTTTTCAGAAGAGCTTGCTTATTTTCAAATTCTGATGATTTCATGTAGTTTTCAATTCTCTGGTACTGAGTATCTGAGAACCGTGCTAATGAGAGAAACGCCTTCATTTTTCCATTTCTGAGCTCATCACTGCTTTCTCCATCATAATTTCCAACAACTTCCACTGCCTTCAAGAAAACACAACCCATGGGCAAAGGATATGAACAGGCACTTCGCCAAAGAAGACATTCAGGCGGCTAGCAGACACATGAGGAAATACTCACGATCATTAGTCATTACAGAAATGCAAATCAAAACTACAATGAGATACCATCTCACCCCAACAAGGCTAGCATTAATCCAAAAAACATAAAACAATAAATGTTGGAGAGGTTATGGAGAGACTGGAACACTTATACACTGTTGGTGGGAATGTAAAATGGTACAACCACTTTGGAAATCAATTTGGCGCTTCCTTAAAAAGCTAGAAATAGAAGTACCATACGATGCAGCAATCCCACTCCTTGGAATATATCCTAGAGAAGTAAGAGCCGTCACTC